CTGCAAGAATTGTTTTAGTACTAAAGAAGTAAGGAAAAGGAGAAGAAACACATGGATTTTGGTAAAAAATGCTAGATGCAGTGCAGAGTTTTTTTGCCAAAGCAGAATCTGTAATTAGCACCTTCTTAATAATCACATCATAGTCAATAACAGGGATAGGAAATAAGATTTGTCCCTGAGTTTTGATTTGTCTTGGCACAATGTCTAGATGTGCCCCTTGCTGTTAACATTACACGGAAAAACCTTTTATCTTGCTTCTTAAATTTCCCCTCCAGATGTTTTGAGACCTAATATGTTTAGGGCAAGATCTTACAGTACTAAATTATTCAGGCTTAAATCACATAAAAATAGAAGATTAGGCAGTTTTAAAGGCAAGTAGAAATCTAAATTCCATCTTTATTTATTGTCACATAGGGAACAAATTTGATACTGCTTTACTGCATTGTTCTATAAATATTGACTAAAGTATTGCTGTACAAGGAAGCATGTAAATTATTACTCAGTCCTCTGAAGACAGAAAGGGAGAATCTTTCATTCCTTTCACTGTATTGCCAGTATCTGAGAAGTCATCTGATCTGAGAAGAAGAGACATCTTACAAGTAATTTACTGTATTTTTGCCTTCTGTCCCATGGGCTATACTGCAAGAATAAGTGTCGGCTACTATCCTCAATCTTCATTTCTCTTAGATTATTCCATCCTCTTTTCTAAGGTGCTCTTCAATGTAATCATTATACCAGTTTGTCTCTGCAGAAAGCCTGAATGGTGTCACTTACATTAAAGACCTCGGTTGCTTCTTTCATCTAGAGGTCTTGGTTTTTTTTTTTTTTTTTTTTTTTTTTTTTGTTTGTTTGTTTGTTTGTTTGTTTGTTTGTTTTCTGTTCCTGGAAGTGAAAGAAGCCAAGAGGAGGTTTGCCTCTACTGTATTTTTACACAGTGAACAGAGACCCACTTGTAATCTCTAGCAGGAAAAGGGCAGTATAATGGGAGGTTTTGGTCATCAAGAAACAGTTGCTGGACACAAGATATCCTGATGTTAGAAAGAATTTGAGCAGTAGAGGAGTTTCTAAAATGTTGAGAAGTGCATCTTTGTAGACTCTTCCATTCATACACTGGGCTCCCTGGTCTAAACATTATAAAATCTGACATCAGCATCAGATCAGGAAAATAGCCTTCTCTTCCTGGGTGGAATGTTGTGAACGTCCTTTTTAATAATGTGGGATTAAGACACTGGACAGTGATGCCTATTAAAAAATAGGGCATAAAAGTACATACAGTTTTGTGACAGTAGATCATCATGGGTCCAGATGTTCATTACAAATCAAAGAAGAATATCTTGGTGGAAACAAAAAAATGATACCCATCACCCTCTTGAGAATCTGCCACTTAGTGCTTAATTGCTGTAAATTGTACTGACATTCAGCATTTCAGCTACTGGAAGGATAAACTTTATGAAATGATAGTCCTCGTCACCCTGAAACACAGGTGCCCTTGGGTGAGACCTCCTGGCTGTTTGAAACAATGCAGTGGCACTGAATGAGAAGGGAGGGATAAATCCTGTCATGGACAGGATTCACAAACAAGGGCATGAAACCCAGCTGACAAACCGCAGGTATCTCCCCTCAGTGAGCGTGTCAGCAAGACAACTTAGATTTAAAAAATCATTAAAATGCCCCCTTGGGCTCTTTTATTGAATGAATGTTATTTCATGACTGAGTGCTCAAAAATATGCCAACTGTTGGCTCACAATTAAAGGTCTTTGTCTCCCAAAACTGTTAAAACAGAAACTAAATGTGTGTGATTTTTCTAACGGGGTTCACAGCAAGATGGGAATGTCTCCTCCCTGGCCAGGACTTTGCTTTTCAGAAGTTTGTCTTACAACCAAATGAGAGAGCAGAGAATGACGGAGAAAAAAGGCAAAAGAAAAGCAGAAAGATACCTATAGTGTGTGACCGGTATGATGACATCATAGATATGATAGATTGTAAGGCTGAACATGGATATAATGCCAGGATAAAATCAGGACAAATTTGCATGCTGTTGCATTCTTTGTTAGTAATAGCCAAAGGTGATTTTGCATGATTGTTGCTGAATTCCATGCAATAACAATCCTATCTTTTCCTGCATGAGAGTTCTGATATTGGGAAAATATTATTAGCAAAAACCTTCTCATGAAGAATTCTCCCAGGGAGTGCTTCTCATTTTGCAAAGCTGCATGTAATGAAGAGATTCAACCAGCTTGGAGGAAAGTCAGATCAAAAAGCATATAAAATGATCCCCTTCAGAAACTAGAGGCCCTGGGGTTACAGTTTGGAGCAAGGAGACTCTGATTCCTTCAGTGCACTCAACAGGTTTCTCCTTGTTTTCCTCTGCTGTGAGAAAAATAGGGAGCACAAGAGCTCCCTTCTGGCTGGAGGGGGTGATAGTGAGGTGTACTGTACTGAGAACACACATTTGTTTTAGGCAGAAACAGAGTGGTCCCATTGCAGCTTTGAGCTAAAGGCTCGTGTTCCCTACAGCTCTGAATGCCAATGGGGTTGACCCTACCAATGAGGGAGAAAGGGAATGTTGGCTTGGCTGAGACCAGTAAAAGAGGAGAGCTTATGCCAGCGTTTATGGCTAATTTGGGTGTGAGGTATTTATCTCCTCTGTTGCATCTGGGTTGCAGTCCTCCCACATGTCATGGCAAATGTCGTGGCAGAGTCTATGCAGTTCCTGGGATCTTCTCATTAACTTAGAAAATAATAGTGTTGTTTGTTTGTTTGTTTTTTAAAATTTTGTTTTATATTTATTTTTATTTGGGGAATACAATATTCTGTTTTTATTTTATTCTTTATTTTATTATTTTTTTATTTTTTACTTTATTTTATTCTGCTTTGCTCTACTCTATTCCTTCATGTCATGGTTAACCCTGAAGGCACTCTGTGCCACCCCATACTAAATGTATCACATGCCCTACTGATCTCAGTAGCTAAATTTACCATGGAATGTAAAGAGAGATGTAACACATATCCAACCTCAGCTTGAGGCATTCTCTGTCCCTCACATACAGCTACTTCTCACCCTGTCTTCTTCCCCAGAAAAGTGCAGTACCTCAGTGAGTTTAACTGGACTCCATGGATGTGGATACCTGGAGTCTGAACTCAGAGTCAAAGCAGCACTTTGTTCTCAAGAGCAGTTGGTGTGAGATCAAGCCATGATGCAGCACGAAGGTTTATGATGGCACCTTAATAGGAGAAAAGGAGAGAGCCCTAGCCTGTATTTCAGGGAATAAAAGGACTAAACAACCAAGGGAAATTCTCCAAATAAGATGAAAAGTGGAAGACATTCTACTGAACATTACACACGCACAAATGGCTATAGTGTACTGGGCTATAAAGCAAAAAAGCAACAATGAAAGTAGTAGGTTTGGAGCATGCTGTTAGTAGCTCAGGCCTGTCTTTGATCTTTTTCATTTCCAGAATGGCATCTCCATAGTCCTTCAGATGTGTAACAGCCAGGATAGACTACCCTGCTCGTACAGTCCATATCTGCTATGGCATGTCTGCATCATGCAACCCCTGAGCTACCTGCACTACCTGCATCATGTACAGATGCAGGTACTGACTGGGTTTCAGAGAAGACAGAGCTGCTCTTGCCCAGCCACAGAGCTGATGCAGTTCACAAATCAATTGCTCCTTCCTCTTCTTCAGCGTGCAGGGTGGTGTCAGTATATGCTCAGCTTCCCCTGGCCTTCTTTTTCCAGAGCTAGTTCATGTGCTGTAACAAAGCCAAATGTGTCTTTTTCTTTCCCTTTTTCCCTGTGTGATTCAGTTAATACATATTCCAAATTCGGTTTTGTTCCCATAGTTTCCCTGGGATTTCAATGCTAGTGCCATTAGTTGAACTGGCACTTGCCCAGATCTGACACTTTGAAGTTCCTCATTTGCTGTGCTTGCACAGTGCAGTTTTAAGAGATGTGGTGCTTGCTCCCAGTATCTCTTCAGAACAGTGCCACATTTCACAGGCACTGGCAAAAGGAAGCCTTTAACATGGCAGCCAGTCTCTGGCTGAAAGCCTAAGCCCTGGTCATTCTTTTCATGGCACTCTCTGGACCTAGACCACCAGCTCTCCCAAACCCTTCTGAAGTTGCTCACTGCCCAACCATATTTAGAGCTTGTAGCACTACTTCAAAAGCTTCCTCCAATGGGAAGCATATGAAAAATACTTCTGCTTTTCCATGCCACCGTGTTGACTTTTATATTCAATCAGCTCCACTGAGCCATTTTCTCTGTCATTCATTTAACAGCCTGCAGAGGAGATCATTTAAGCAACCAGCTGAGCTTTGCTCTGAGCAAGCAAGGAAGCTAGAGCCACACCAGGAGCACCCTGCAAGGCCAGTGCTTGATTAATTTCAGCTGGCTTTAATTAAAAAGTATTCCTTCTTTAGTTAATTACATATTTTATGAGAAGTGGATATGGTTATCTGAAACCGAACATGGGATGGTGTTTCTGTCATCTCATCAGTTTGGGGTATATGAGGTCTGGGAATCATGACAGCATTAGGAAATAAATGGATACGGAAACATTCTTCCACCAGCAACTATTGGGATTTGCAATTAAATTAATGTACAAATCTACTCCAGTGTATCATGGATGATATGTGTCATCTCTCATATTACACACTATCTCTTTTTCTGTTAGTTACATTTTACTTTTACTATCGTGCTCTGAGCAGAAAAGAGAATTTTTCAAAAGAAAGGTATAGGTGTGGAACATCTGAAACAGATATGCTTTTAGATATATTATTTTCAAAGCATTAAAATGTTTTGCCTTTTGCTTCTGAAAGAAGTGTCTCTGTTCAAGAAGTGCTGAGTCTTCTCTTCTTTTGGCGATCAAGGGATTTTAAACCAGCTTTCATTATTGCTCAGATAGCAGGTTCTCTGCATCAAGAGTAATTGCTGAAGATTTGGCCATGTTTAGGGGAGATAACAACATAAATGCTCTTCATCTGTAGCAGATGTATACATATCAGCTATTGCTACGAGCAGCTTGAGTGTGAAGCTGAGTTCTCAGTGTCTCTGCTGAAGTTATTGCTGTCTTTACACAACTTTAAGGTTTCTATTGCAGAGTCCTAGAGGAGCCTGCCTAAAAGGTAAGAATCTTACATGCTTAGAGCTGGAAAAAAACTTTTTTCACGGTTTTCAACCTGGTTGGCAAACTACAACAGGTGGATGATAGAACTAAAACAGGATGGGGAAGGAGGGGTAGCAAACCAAATGTGGTCACTGGGAGAGCAGGAATCACGTGGATTGCAGACTGCTTGTTCTCTCTAGATTCTAAATATGCCTCTGTGCAGCATATGCAGACTGTAGAAAACTACAAATCTCTGCTTCATGACTCTGAATCTTAGCTGTGAATTGAATAATTTACAGTACTGAACAGTGAAATGGCACAAAGCACTTTGTGCATGGAGGTAAATGAAAGCCTTGTATGAGGCAGTTGCTTTGTAAAGGAAGGGTGTGGGAAGGTCAAGAGAGAGTCAGAGACAAAATAACCTCAACAGTGATGTGCTCAAGCTTCACTGAACAAACAACAGAATGATTTGATCTCTTTTCCAATAAGCTTTACAAATATTGGTGCATTGTCTGAATGTATTTTATACCAGCAAGCTAACAGGGTGTCAGGAATGGCAGCATCACCTCCAGGACTCCTGTCTGCTCACTAGCTAAGTGCAGAGGCAGTAAATTTTACAGCATCTTTAATCTTTATCTCCAATGTAAATAACACCTCGTGGGCTTTAAAAAAGGTAAAGTCCTTGACTTCTTTCAGTTTTAATCTGAGTACTGATGCTTTCTGATGGATCCAACTCTCAGTTCCCAATTTTTAAATTATTTAACTGATTCAATAGAATCATAGAATCTCCAAGGTTGGGATAGACCTCCAAGCTGTCTTATCTTTTGCTTTTACAGCTAAATCAATTTTTAGGAGGCAAAATAAGCTATTCAGTGAATCACATCCAGAGTGGCCTACCCTTCCTTAAAGCCAGTTGTCAGTGATATAAAATAAAACTACTTTAGACTTTCTCATAAGTCAGAGGGGATAAAGAGAGAAAATGCAGGAATTATCAACCAGGAGTAGTGAGGGGTTATGTTGCCATTGTGATGTTACAGAGAAGACCTCCGTAGACAGTCATCTCTCTTGTATTTACAATGAGTGGTTGCCATGGCTGTGACTGTTCATGTCAGTATCTTTTGGAAATAAAGTACGAAAGTATGAAGTAATTTCAGACAATGCTCATACAAAGTTAAAATGTGTAGTGATTCCTTAAACCTGGGCTCAAAATCCTTCCCCGGGGGAACATCCATGGATTTTAGTTCCATAACGAGACCCTAGTGCTAGCAACATGCCTGCATTTTGAGAAACACTCAAAATGTGTGATGGTGATCAGGTTGTAATGTGAGGGTCTGCTTCATGAGACAATGATGTGGACGTTACTGGTCTCCTTTTCCTTTACAGTGGACTTTAGCCTTTTCCTAAAAGTCTGGAATCTGCTATAAGGCACTAGGGAGTGGTTCATCAGTAGCTGCCTGAAAGATGTGAGTGATTCGTAGATGCTTCTGGATTAAGTTTCTATTGCAAGGCACTGGAATTGATGGCTTAACTTACAGAGACTTCTAAAATGAGTCAGACCTTTCATGCCTAAAGGAGGTCAAGAGAACAGAATAAGACTTACAAGTGCTCAATTAAGTAGTTGTTGTTTTCCACTGCCAGCTATTTAGTCTTTTTGTTTTTCAGTTGAAAGTAAAAAGTTTCTCTTCAAAGTTTTAACTTTTCCTTGAAATCTTTCCAATATTCTTTAATATTCCCTCCAAGCCTCCCTTCCCCCTGCCCCCATCTTTTTTTTTGAGAGAGAGAGAAATGAGGTGGGGAGAAGTATTTGATATCAGAATTTGGGGTATTGGGCCATACTGCTTTTCAAAATGAAAGGTTTATTTCTGAAGTGAGTTCTACTGGGCCTTCAGTAGCATCCTCCAGTTCTGTTTTATATACACGTTTGGAGACAGACCACTTTAATAAACATAAAAATTCCCAGGAAAATACCCAATTGTTGTATACACAAATTAAGAATTTGAGCAGAATTACTTGCTTTTAAATGAAGATGGATTTCAACTTGCTCTTTCCAATTAGAATAATAATAAACATTTCCCCTAATGATAACAATGGGCAACAGTGCTAAAATGGAAATGCAAAAGCTTTTTCTTTTGGTACAGTAGAAGTTACAGTATCATTAAATATATAATCAGCTCTTTACTGCTTGTGTTATTTTTGAGGCACTTAAATGAAAAGTTGATTTGTCTCTTATTAGACCTCAATAAATGGTTCTTTAATAGTCATAGGGTGTCTTAATGCTTTACAGAATCATTGTCATTAAGTTGAACACAAGAGAGTGGACTTAAATAAAAGAGAAATGTGAAAACTCAATAAATCAGGATAATACAAGGTTTTCTTTGTTGTGCTGAAATGCTTCTGCCTCTTAAACTAATTTTCAAAGGCCGAAGTTGCATAATCAATTTAGGGCTTGGTTATGCCTGCATGAATCAGTTGTTAGACTGTGGCCACTAAAAGACACTTCTCTTTTCTCTAGAGAAACTTGAGAATGGATTTTGCTGTGGCATTGGTGGACTTCTCTCCCTGAAACCATGGCCAGGTAAGAAAAGCATAATAACTTCTTCATTATGGCAGCCTTTCTCATGTATGAAGGGCGAATGGAGAACACTTAGGTACAATACCTCACCCTTCATTATTGATGTTCTGTACCATGTACCACTCATGGTTTATTTTTGCATCCACATGCATGATGCTTTGTGAAAGGTAATAGGTATACCTTAAAATGCAGAGATCTCAGAGAAATCTTAGAAACCATCACTTACAAGCAGCGGGTGATAAAATTGCAGAAATGTGCAGGTTGGGGTTTTGGGTGCTGCCAAAGCTGTGTGGCCAGGGAATGCTCAAAGAGTGGTAAGCCAGTTTCTGCTCTGTTAGAATATTAAGATAAGTATTATATTGCTTTTGCTCATGTTTGATTAGATTATTCATTCTTTCAAATGGCACTTCCTTGGCCTACTCAGCTCCTCACGTAAAAAGCTGGTTTGCTGGTGGAACCACAGACTTGCAATGCTTGGTCATGTTGGAGCTTGACAGTTAGCGACTCAGAGTCCTGATCCATCTTGAGGAGAGCTTATTTACACAATGAGCTTGGGCCGGGGAGATAGAGATAGCGAGCAGAATCCATGATTGTCTGAGTGTAACAATTAAATCCTAATTGGAATGGCTGCACCTCTCCAGGTACTTTGCTACTTGCCTCAGACGGTATTGTGCATCAACAAGCCCTGCACACATCCTGCTTCTCTGAAATCTGTGGTTTCTTTTATTTGTTCAGTTAGAAACCTCCAGACTTGAAAGTTTTTTGCTTTTTCATAGCCAGTCAGCATTCAAATGAGCTGGAGATAAGGATGCATATGAAACCCTTGAGTTCCTGCTTTGCCCTGTATTTCTTGATATTTAGTTGGTATTTACTTTTACAATTACTTGGTATTTATTGACTAGCAGGTATATTTGCTTTATAGGCAAAAGATGGAGAAAATAATAATAAAAAAAGACCCAGTAGCCATAGTAACAGAAAATATTCCGTTTATGCAGGGGGTGTGTGTGCGTGTGGTGATGACTATCAGAAGTCTTCCTGGAGTGGTTGCCAGGTTACTTACCCTGTAAATAGGAAAATACAGAGGCATAAAAATCCCTGAGCAATGACGTGGACCTGTGTTGGCTGGCTTAGCTCCAGATCAAAACTATCATGTCTAATGATTGTTGAATTTCTTCTGTCTGTGTAAACATTGCTCTTACATGTCTGCTTTCCCTCTGTTTCATTATTGACCAAATTTCCTGATACTGAGAACTTTGCTCCAAAGAAATGGGACAGATCTGGCTATTTTTGCATAAAGAAAAATATTATTGGCAGACAACTGTTGAGATTTTCCGAATCAAGGTTCTGACGTGAAGACTCATGATTGCTTGAAAACTATCTCAGATTGAGATAAATTCAGACAGTGCGGGTCTACAAGGTTGTCCTCTTCCTGCTAAGAAAAGACTTGTCTAATGAAGCTTGGAGCTCTTACATATTTTTGGAGCTGAAAGGCACTGTGATGCATAGTTAAATGTATATGTACAGTAACACTGTTCAGACAGTATAGACACTGGAGAAACTCCGGCTGGGAATCTTGCAGGATCAAGAATCAGAAGGGACTCTCAGTGGTTACTCTATTCTTCCTTCTGCTTCTCATGCGTGAGTTTTCTATTTAAACTTTGTTTTAAAGATGACCTCCAATGCTGCAAACCTCAGTCCCCAGGCAGTCAAGGCCAATGCTTTGTTGTCATTAGAATATTTTCTTCTCATATCTAGCATGATCCTCCTGCTGCAATTTAATCTGGTTACTTGTCCTGTTCTCAATGGAGAACAAATTACGACCTCTTTTTGGAGTTGCTATTCTGGAACTCTGTAAAACACCCCTTTTCTGCCTTCTCTCTTTTATATTGTAGAATGAGGAAAGCAAGTTTTAGTCTGTCCTCATGGGTTATTATATCTATATTGCTGTGCTGTGTGCTCTTTAACACTGGTTTAAAAATCCTTCTTAATATGCTTTGCTCAAAACTGGACGCACCTCTTCAGTCAAGACCTTGTCAGTAATTTGCCAAAGACTATCTGGCTTATGTACCACTATGGAACATCCCTTTTTGCCCACTGCCTCAAGTTATTCACTCATGCTGACATGAACTGTGCCACCTGATTTGTAAGAAGTTTGATCAATCAGGCTTGGTGAACTAATCAATCCCCTGTACTTTATTGAAAGACCCTTTGTAATGGCAGTGCAGAGCTTCACTGCAGCAGAATCTCCTTTTATTTTTGTACAATCAGCCTGGTTTTTATTCTCTAATTTCATTTGAAGTAGGCTACGAGGAGAATTGAGGGACAGAGAGAGCATCAGATGTTATCTGATCAAATACAGAGAGATAAGTTTTGATCTCAATTATGTAAGTGTAGAAACAGATTTTTCTAGATTTATCATGGTGTAATAGAATTAAGTTTATTAAAATTAAAACAGCCATATTGAAAGCTAGTATTTGTACTACTTTACCAGTTTTAGGAGAATTACTGAGTTGTCCTAGAAGATAGAATGTTTGTTCCTGGGGTACCAGAGAAATTTTTCTTCAGCTGTCTGCATCCAATTATTTTTTTGTATTATACTTCCCTGCCTCTATCCCCTCACTTTTCCTTCTCTTTTATTCTATTTGAGCAATTATTTCTTTTTCTAGTCTGGGTAGTAGCAGTCTCTCTTTTGAAAATAAAAAGCAAAGAAATCAAAACACAGAAAAATTAAACAAAAGGCATTCTAGTTTGGAAGATTCTTCTCGTTAAATGTCGATGACTCATCAACATTGAAAACTAGAAATTTGCAGAATATTTTATCATCTTTGCTTGTCAATGGCAAGTACAATGTGTAAGCTAAAAAGAATCCCTGTGCTTTATGAATTTTCAGTTCTAGGTACAGAAAAGACATGATAAAAGGAGTAATGAACTAGGGAAGAGTTGGAGAGAATTTAGATTAAAAGATAAATAGATGCTTTGCTAAATTATGCCTGACACCCAGGGAAGAAAAGTTTGTTGCTTCATAAATGATGACATGGCACTGAACAAAACTTCATGGAGGCATTTTACCTTAATAATTACTCGTTACTGAATAGTGTGGCAGTTGGCTGATTGGAGGACTTAATGAGATGTTTTTGTGTGACTACCCTTAACTGTTTGTGGCAGTCAAGTTGTACAAATCATTTCAGTAATGCACATTTTAAGCTAATAGCAGACAATGTTATTCCCAATTAAGGTCACAGTTCCTGCTAACTTGACAGGTAATGTCAGGGCTGAAAGTCTGATGGGATAAAATTCTGGAGGGAAATGCTCTTGGATATGGAATTGTGAATCCCAGAGGATTATCAAGTCATGGCTGATGATTTAGGGTACACAAAGTCATAAAGTGTTAGACTGATTTTTGCCTGCAGGATTAGATTATTTTACTATCTATAGGGAACCATCACACTTGCACCCCAACATGAAAACAGAGTTGATGGGCAGCAGAGCACATTAGCCTCGTTTAAAGTCTTCCTCACAGTTCACCTTATTTCCTTGCTCGTTCACTTTGTCAGTGAGGCCAACAGAGAGGCTCTGCAGTATTATGAAGCCGAAAAAAGGAACGTATGCCTTGTCAGACTTGATGCTTCTTACGTAGAAGTTTGCACATATCTTATCCTCAAGTGTTGTTCCGCAGCTTCCTTCTTTGTAGGGGTGCAGCACCTAGTATCCCCAGACTGTATTTGAGACTCTTCCATTTAGATATGTCACACACATCTTGCTCGATCAGGTGGTGTTAACTAGTTGCTATCATTGGGTTTGGATGCTCATGGAAGAAATCAGCTGGGTTGGAAAATATTAACTTTGACATTTATTTAAATTGCAGCTTGATTTTTATCTCCTTTTTTGAGGTTCAGTGAATTGCATTTGCTGTCAATTTATTGTTAAAAATAGAACTTCATGTGAACTCTCAGTAGGTCTCTCTGTAATGATTATGTTACATACTTGTACACTGTACTCACTGTATATCAACTGGAGTTGAACTAAGCTACCCCTGTGGTATAAGACACGTGGAGCTTTATTGGAATAAAATAAAAATAACCTAAATGAAGAATAAATTCCAGCTTAATAACAGGAGGACTAACTAGTCTTCAGTGGACATGGATGTAATGTTTTTCACTAAAAACTCTCCCAGATGAAGTACACTCAGCGCTATTCAGTTGACTGAGAGGATTTCTTTCTATAAGTATTGTAAACAACAAATAAGTGGTGTAAATAATTAAAGCAACGTAAAATTTGCTAATTTATAAAGAAATGTCTTTGCTAGCCCTCGGAGCGTACCAGATTTTCTTAATGCTAAAATTTTATTGATTCCATTGAGTTTTCATGGCAAAAAGCACCAGTAGATGAGGTAAGTATTGATGTTGTCTATGAAAGTCAGTTGACTAAAAGAAGTGGGGACCAGCTGCTTGTAAGAGAGGTTCAAGAGGTGTTCTAAGATGTATCATATATTTAGTATTGTAGATATTATTAGCACAGACCCCTGTGCTGCTCCACTGTTCATTTCCCTCCCATGTGGGAATTCACTTTCAACTCCTAAACTTATCTTTTCAACTTCTTTTATGTTGGCTAGGTTTCCTGAAAGAATCCAATATGATCTCCTCAATTTACAGACTCTTTAACCTTTTTCAAGAATATCAGCATAGAGAAAGAAGCAGCTTTTCACTGTGATTTCTTCTACTAGTGTTGTGCCTCTGCCTCAGAATAAATTCCTTCAGGAACTGTACTTTCTGCTTTGATTGTGGTGGGAGCCTCAGTGATTGACAAAGGAGGGATGCTGAATGGTTCGTGAGCTGTGATGAAACCTAAAAATTGAAGAAGAATGTTGGCATTTCTTACATGAAGTAAGAAAACATTTCCAAATATGAAAATGATTTTTAAAAAGAAAAATTAAAATTATTTAAGTAGACACATTTTTGTGCAGCTAGAAGTGTGTGTGTGTGTGTGTGTATATATATGTATATGTGTGTGTATATGTATATATATATATATATATATATAGCATTTGATAGGCATTTTTTTGACGAAAAGGTGTATACTCTGTAAGTTCAAGTTGCTTAAGATGGTAACTAAGAGACAAAAGGAAGGAACAGGAAGCTCCAGTGATTATCTGTGAAGCTCTGTGTGGTATTGGAACAACTGATTCCTAGTAACAGTCATAGATGTTGGTCTTTCAGCTCCAAGAGAAAGTCTGAGACATCTTACACCTGCTGTAAACTGTGACACTGTAACTATTTGACTGAATATATCAGTAGCTCTTTATATTCAGAAGGAAAAAGTCCCTGAAGTGGGATTAAAAGGCTGGAGGATTTAGAGTCTTATAGTAATATTGAGGAATATCAAAGCATCTCTGAGAGCTCTGTGGGGGAGAGCAGAATTGTTGTGCCAGACCATCCCTATCTCTAGGAGAAAGATTTGTCAAATCTCTTTGTAGAGATGGGGAGTGCAGGCTCCATTTCGATTATATCCAGCGGGAAACAGTTTAGCTCCTCTCTAAAGAGGTGATTTTTAAAGGATTGCGTAAGGGAATCAGCTCAGAAAATGCTGCATTACACTTGGGGACAATTAATATGTAAGGAGAAGCGTGTGAAGTTTATGCTTAGCTTATGCTTCTCAGTCTGGGGGGTCTGTTCTGTATGCTCTCTGCCAGTTCCCATTAGTTTGGATTACACTGAGGTTAAAGCATCCATGCTAGTAAAAGGTATTTAATTGAAAAGCACAAAAACAGAGGAGACTCCCACACATGCTCTCGTTCTTCATCCACTGCCTTTTGAATGCACCAGAGTTATGGGAGCAGTAGTCAAGCTGCGTTAGAAAATCAAGCAAATGTGAAGACTTTTTTTTTTTTCAGTTGAAATGAGTACTTTTAGAAAACGTGTTTGGGACTCCAGCATGATTGTAACAGAGTGGAAAATTAGGCTGGGGACGCTGCAAGCTAGTCCTGAGGCCTCAGGGATTGTGTATCTACAATGTGGTCTTCCTTCCATTCTTAAGGCCAGTAAATCTAATTTCCTGAAAGAAAAATAAAATACCCATGAGGTGTAATAAAAGAAGATGAAAATGCTGTGAAGTTTTTGGCACATAACCTTTTCTAGTCTCCAGTCCAGAGAGATATTTGTCTTTTGAAAGAATATTATGGAGTGCAGATCTGGAATCCCCAGCAGAAGAAAGACATGGACCTGTTGTGGGCTCCATAGGAGGGCTGCAAGGATGGTCAGAGGGTTGGAGTACTTTTCCTATGAAGAAAGGCTGACAGATTTGGGCTTATTTAGCCTGAAGAAGAGACGGTTTCAGGGAGACCTTGTAATGTTCCTGTGAGAGAGGCCTACAGGAAAGGCTCCCTCATTAGAGAGTATAGTGATAGAAGAAAGGATGATGGTACAGAACTAGAAATGGAGTAGGTTTAGCTTAGGTATGTGGAAGAAATTATTCACTGCAAGAGTGGTGAGACAGTGGAGTAGGTTGCCTAGTGAAGTTGTGGATGCCCCATTCCTGGAAATGTTCAAAGTCTTTTTTTACCGGGAGAGCTCAAGACATTTTTAAGGAAAAGTTTTGTTGTTTCTGTTTATGGAAAAAAAAAAAAAAAAAAGGGTAATATGTAAGTGAAATCAAAATCTTGCCTGACTTTAGTTTTGCTGGTTCTGTTCTGTACGTAAGACTGATAATACATTTTCCAATGTATTGCAGATTCTGGCAGGAACATTAACACCTCTTTTGGAGAGGGATTTGAAAATGACTGTGCATGTCTTTTGTGATATGAAGTCCTATGTCAGTATAGTAGTTTATATAATGTTCTGTTATATAAAAACTTTAATGATGCTGCTTCTGGGAAAGTAAAAACTTTCCTATAAGAGCTATCTCCTTTCCTTACTCTGTTTCCTCTTGGGGAAAAAAGGTGATCAAGTGACAACAGAGAGAAGGAAAGGATCTGCAGCTGCTGTTAATGACTGATGACTAATTATTACTCTTGGAAATGGCACAGAACAGATAGACTTAGAAGTGTATTCTCTTCTGACTTGTTTGTCTGACAGATTCTTTCTTCCTCAGATTCATGTTGTGTTGATTTTTTTTTTTTTTTTTTTTTTTTCCCCCCGCTTAATTGGAAGGAGCTAATTAAGACAAAAGTCCCTAGAATGACTTATTTGTTGTTTCATTTAATAGCTTTTGGATTAAGATCACTAGTATCCAGATTCTGAATACTCTCTTAGGATAGAAACTGAGCTACACCTCTTAAGCCCTTTTCTGCTATAAATATAAGTAATTGGGAGAGAGAAGGGGGAGGGGGAGGTGGAAGGGAGGGAGTTTTTTTGGGAGCCAGTAGTTGAGGAAAAAAAAGTTAATTTGGATATTTTTTCATTATTCATAAATTGGAATATATCTTTTTGAACCAGAATTTATTATTTTGAGAAGAGGGAAGGAACTGAAAGGCAGTGACTCAAAATTGATTTTTGCTTCACTGAATGAAGTTTGGTGAAATCTCTAAAAATGTATCCTGATAAGGATGAGACGTAAAGTCCTTTGAAAAGAGAAGAAATACTATACTCCTTATGTAAAGGACTTGTTTTCTAGAGATCCGTTCTTGGGTTGGAAACATCAAAAACAGGGAAAAAAGCAGATTTTTTTTTTTTTTTATGAACTCACTTCTTTCCTCCTTGTAGACTGTGCCCTAGTGCTAATTATATTGGTAATAGGAAAAGTCACGGGCTGAATGAATGTCCAAGCTATAAGTATGCACACCAGAAAGGCTATGACACTGTAGGTGAAATTGTACAAGGGATACTTGTGGAAAACTGTCTAAGTTTGAATGAGGTGTTGAGGGGAAAGGGTTAGCAGAGGAGATGATGATGATGGAAAGGAAGTGCGTCAGTCAGCTAAACACAGCATGACATCCTAAGCAGTCTATTGATCTCCTATTCAGAATTCATGCAGGGTGACTCCTTGTCATAAAACATTCAGCAGCCAAAATCAATAAGAGATGTGGAGCACTGATTCTTGCTGCTTCAAAGTTATACTTGAAAACAACCAAAAAATCTCTGCTACGCAAATGTGCCTGTTTGGTTCAGATCCAGCCATTTCAATGATGAAAACTTGCTTCCTGTTTTTCTGAGGGGATTCCACCTGGAAAGTGACAGGAACTGGATTTAGCCATTTGGCAGGGAATCTATATGCTGTCCTCTTTGTTTATAAAGGATTTTCAGGAAGAAAGAGAAGCCTAACAAGAAAGAGTTGCTGATGTGCAGCTTGTCTTATGCTTTGAACTTACTAATACTCAGCTGTTTCTTGGTGAAGATCACATGTAATAGCTGCATGGCAAAATGCAATGGGACTTAAAAAAAAAAAAAAAAAAAAAAAAAAAAAAAAATTATCTTTCACAAAAATCCTAAATGGTATTCTCTTTAAAGACACACCCTCCTCATTACCAAATATACTGAATTGTTCCTCAACCACTTCTTTGTCTGTCAGTAAAGTTGAAGTCCACTGTGTAATTAGGATAGGTCTGGCATTAGATTGCAATGCATATCTATATACAAGTCAGTACAGTTTGTCAGTGAGTCCTATTTTCAAAGACAAACTTGTGTCCTCCATCTTGATGGAGGAATGATAAATAAGCACATCTGTACCATCTCAGCCATGAAGGCCATCTGGAAGAAGGGTTTTACTGGGATGCCAGCACCTTACAGCTCTGCTATTCTATTCTGCCTTTGTATCATGTGTATTTTTGTATCACAGAAGTCTAGAAGACAGTGTTGGAAATGCTTTCCCTGGTCCATCTAGTCCCAAGTGCTGCCTCTATTGTGATGTAACGCTAACGGGCAGCTCAGCAGCACATGGCTGTTTTCTCACTCTCCCCATGTAGGACTGGAGAATCAATAGGATGAAAGTGGAGACAATTTAATAGGTAAAGCAAGAGCTGTGTACAAGCAAAGTGAAATAAGGAATCCATCTGCTACTTCCCATTGGCTGGTGTTTTTTTTTCTACCCATCACATGTAATGGTTTATTGGAAAGACGAATGCCATCATTCCTTCTATATCTCAGCTTTTATTGCTGAGTGTGACACCATATAGTAGAGGGCATCCCTTTGGCCAGT